AAATTAAGTAATGAAATGGTTTCGATGTGGGCTCGTGCTATTGTATGATATCAATTATATCATATATATTATTTCTTATATATATGTTATTATATGAAATATTTATGTATTATACATATATTTTTATAGATTAGTGGAATAAATGAAGTAGATGAGATTATTCTACCTTCTATTCCAGCATTTGATAAAGATAAATATAGATTTCCAAATTCTAAACAATCCATGAATAATATGAATAAAATGAATGAATTTGGTATGAATTTTATTTATATGTTGAATTCTAAGATATTTTATGAATTCTTATATATTTTTTTTATAGAAGTTCCTTATAACAATATTATAACTAGACCAGTTATTTCAAAACTTAAAATAGTAACTATCTATACGAAAAAAAAATTACCCTACAAGACCAACATTCAAGTCATTAAAAATATGACTTTTCAAGAGCTTATACATTATGCGTTTCCATCTGGTCTTCCATCAGATAAACGATTTATTATAAAATCATCTTTTGAATCTGATTCAACGCAATTTATACCAAGTCAAATTATGGAAGCAATTTTTTTTGATCCTCATGTAAACATTTATATGGATTTAGAAAAAATCGATCATGATTATCTTGATCTTTTTGGAGAAGAATAATTTTTGGAATATTTGATTTTATAATATAATGAATAGAATTTATAGGATAATATTTTTTGTTATAATAAATACATAGGATTTTATGCAATTTATTATGTTATATAGAATTGAGAATTTCTAAAGAAATTTGAGAAATCTTTATTTGTCTTTAGATCCTTATGTTCGATTGATCATGAGAGAACCTAAGGTATCATCAAATTTAATCGGTCATTTTATGAGTGGTATTAGTGTTTCCAAAGTTATAAATCAAATAATCCAATCATAAAGTTGGAGATCTTGTTTATGGATTTATCGGTAAATAATTTAGAATTCTTTACTTAAAGTATAAAACCCTTTTAAAGTTGAATAATAATTCTTTCTTTTTAATTTAGGTTAGAAAGAAACACTCATATTAAAACTGATGCTAAAAACATAAATGATTACCATTTTAAAAACATTAATTATCATAAAAAATTATTAAGTTAGCCTCCTTCAGTTTAATGTATTAACATTTTACAGAGTTTTAATGGATTTTGGAAAACCAAAGCAGAAGAAACAATTTACAGTCAACCCTTGATATAACGAATTTTATGTCCTGAACTTCAACTTCGCTATAGAGCTATAGTGAATTTTTTAAAGAATTTGATTGGCTAGTTCGTTATAACGAGGGTAAATTTAATATAGTTGTCCAAAAAATTCGTTATATAAAAATTCGCTATAGAGAGGTATGACTGTATATTTCGGTATGTGAAAAAAAAAGGTGGAATTTTTTTTTCTTTTATAAAAAATAAAAAATCTGATTGAGAAAATTTTCTTTTAGTGTGCAGCTGGAGTCACCAGAAATCTCTGGTCAAATCGCAAAATTAAAGGGTTGAAAGTGATTAAATCTACTAGATCTGATAAAAAAAGATTTAAATTTGATACTGCCTTTAACTACAAAAAAGTTGACCTTGACAAGGTATGATAAAGTATAAATCTATTTCAAAGATTTATCAATAATATCATTTGTATAGGATTAGCATTGGTAAAGGAACTTACTAATTATGTGTTATGCCATCTTAATATTAAGAAAGAAAGAAAAATGTCATTAAACATATATTACAATATCCTTTGTACTAGAATCCTCAAGTAAATATATATATATTTTTTTAATAAAAGAGTATATTCTAATTCTGTTAACATAAAAATAATATTCAATTTTTTTTTTGATTTTGTTAGGAATAAGATTCAAAAAATAATTGAATCTTATAATAATGATATGAGAAAGTGAGAAAAGATTTATCTATCAGTAAAAATTTATTAGATCATCTATTAGGGTTCATTATAATATAAATTGAAGTATTTCAAACAATAGAAAATTCTATTTTATTACAAGATCATTCAGATATTGAAATAAAAGGTAAAATTATTTTGACTATTTTTTTTTTTACTGTAAAATGTTAAATTTTCATTACAGTAAAAAAAAATTGTTCTAAAATTATTTTTATCAATCAAATAGATAAAGAGAAAATTGTTAATTATAAACTTATTTATAATTAGTTATCCCATCTATTGTATATTGATTAAATAATACTACATTAGCAACAGGCGATGACAACGGTATTATCAAATTAGTTAATTTTAGTATTAAAGAAACCTTTTTATATATATATTCATTTCATTTATTTAGTCATGAGATATAAGGAATGGAATGAAATTATGGAATAAAAGTCATGACAAGACATTATCAATTTACGATATATGTAGACCAGCAATGTATAATAACCAAAACAATGAATTATTGTCTGTAATATAGTAAGTTAAATATTATTTAAAGACCTACCCGAAATCATACCTACTTCAAACCTTTTTTTTTAATATAAGATAGAAGAAAAGCTTTAGTAAGAACACAAGAAGGAATATTGAATTTATTTACATAGAATAATTGGGGAAATACATCTGATTGAATAGTAGGTCATCTGCAAAGAACTCTGCAAAATCAAGGTTTTTCTAAAATCAAAGGACTCACCTCCTTTACCTTCTATCCATTCATTAATATCCAGAGAAAATGATTAAGAAAGAATGAATTGGAATTCTTTGCCAAAGATTGATGACTCTTCTAATGAAGAAACTTCAAGTCCACTTTCTATATTGGCTCTTAAATCCATTCCACCCATTCCCGCTAAGGATATTTACATAATGTGTACATGTGATTATGTACTTAATACAAAAGATATGTTTAATCAGATAATTCTATTACCTCTAGCTCGAAAAAGCCAATCTTCTAAATATATATGAAAAGCTTCATCTTCAAATAACTTAGAACCCTCATCTCTGATATTATCTCCAGTTAAATGAAGTCAGATTTCTTTAACATCATCGTTTCTGATAAAGTGTCATAATGCTATTACAGAATTGTCCCCTTCTATTCCTTCTCTAACTAGAAACTCAATGTCAAAGGGAAACAAAACATTCCGGAACTTTTGGATAACTTATCAACTGATGAACCTACTTTCATATCATCACCTATCTCTCCGATTCAGAATTAAAATCATAATTATGAATAGAATCGGATGTCTCTAATATCCCCAATTGATGATACTTCATTAAACATTGAGATTCCAGATCAAATACTTCAAAGAAACGCTATATCGACTGAACAATACTTTCCAAAAGTGCAAATATGACAGAATCCAATTTCTTTCATTTAGCATGAGCCATGTTATACTTAATCACTCAAGAAGAATAATAATAAATCGTCTCAAAAGAAGGTATTCAAATCAAAAAAAAATTCAAATCTAAGTCAACTTCTAATCCATTTGATTTTCTAAAAACATTAAATGTATCTTCGACAAATTTGAATTTAGATCTGTTATAATTGTAAATTTGGTCCTAATGATGAAGGAAATGGAGATCCAAATCTAATCCTTTCTTAGGTATAATGAGTACGGATCTACAAAGTTGTAGTTAGCTCAAAATCTGAAGATAAGAAAAGACAATCAGTACCCTTTGTACTAGATACAAATACTTTAATTATGGAAATGCACGAGAGTAATAACATGCAACAATCTCATATAATTTCCACACAATTAAATCAATGTTTTCAAAACCTATCAGCAGAATAGTTCAACTTATTGAAAAACTACAAAGATGGCATTTACAAAACACTACATTACGAAATGTCCATAATAATGAAGTACAATGTACTATAACAATTTCATTAGGAAAATCTGGATCCTTTCAAACATTCAATTCAAAAAATGGCATAAAATTTTGGAAATGATAAAATTTCAAGCCTGTTCAGATCCCTAGATCACCATATAGCATGACACAACTTGAACGAGACGCACTTTTTCCCGTAAACACACTCAAGAAAAATTCTTTGATTAAAAAATAATATTTAAAATTACGAAATATGACCTGCCTAAATATAACCATCAAAGTTATTGAAAACCCAGCATTCGTACTAAGCTTTTCGTCTCCACCATCTCCCTCATTCACAAATGCTAAATTACATATATCACGTGTCAATTAGTTTAACGATCATTGAAGAGGAAGAGGAAGTTATGATGTCAAATCCTAACCCTGTTCCACTAATTACATCATCATCTCCTTTCGTTCTAGATCTGCCAAACATTAATTCAGTCAGCACAACTTACTCAAAGTGCTGCAGCTATTGTGATGAAACCTGTTATACAACAATATTTAAATTCTCCTAATCCATCATCATTAGGTGAAAAAGTCATTATGGTTCTAACTTCAAAGGTTGCTCAAATCCTATGGAACTGAAAAGGTTTATTGTGAAAGTCTCAATTTTGAACAATTAATAATAATCAATGGAATTTACGCATATAATTATAAATTCTCATTAATAATAATTACCATGTTTAGATTTTATACCCCTTCCTACTATGTTTATTTTGAGATCAAATTAGTGGTCTGTTATTGCATAATCATAATGTTAGATATTCAACATCTTTTAGCCCACCAAAGATTTCTTGGAAATTTTGGGCGAACAGAAACATCAAGAAGGAATCCTTGAATGAATTAGTCTCTCATTTGATCCAAATTCATACTTCGAAATAGGAAATGTGTTTCAAAACATTCGTATATTAATGAGAAATAAAAGAGGGTGGAAATATTAGTGAATATCCAAAGTTCGTATACTAAGGATAATACTATATAAATTTTTTTATTTTTATTTTTATTTTATATGTAATTATGCAATATATGTAATTAAGATATGGTATGATAAGATTAAATAAATTATGATATGGTTTAAATAAATTATGATCACAAATAAATGTTTTTATAATTTAAAATTTAAAATTTATTATATAATGAAATTGTTATAGCATATATAGTATTTCGTAATTATAGAAATTTCATGTTGTGATAAAAATTGTGACCCATTGATTAGGTTCATCTCTTCCGGACTTAATTTTGAACACATATTATATAAGTGCATTACCTATGTAACGTAATAAGAATCAAGTCTTACAAAGAAACTTTTAATTTATGAAAATTTTTTGGTGAAAACCTCGCGATGATATAAACAATTCATACTCCAAATTAAACTTTTTGTACCATCCATATTTACAAACGAATTTAATGCTTTTTACGTTTCATATCTATCACACTTGCTTTCAATGATAAATTCTTCTGCCATGATAGATTATTATTTTTATCTGTCATAATATAAATCATTTTAGTCATCAAGAAAATCAAATTAAATCAATTTATCCTCTTTCTTGCTCTCAGCTTTCTCCTTGATGTTTAATATCTTTGTACATGCTAGTAACTCGTAATTACTACTTTAAAGATATATAATTATAAATACCCCGCATGTTGAAAAGATGCTTTAGCTAATGTATCTCCAATTGTCATACAACTAAATTTCAATGCACAATTGGATTTTCTAAAGATTCTACCTAGCTGCAATTTTGACGTAAATAATTTTAATATAAAAAAAACTTTGTTCAATCTGTAATTTATTTATTATTAGGTTATTATAAAATTATTTATATTATTATAGTAATATAATTAAAAATACTTAATGGATTAAAGTTGGGAGAGTATGGAGGTAAATATTCAAGTTGAATTCCTTTTTCCTCACATAAATCATATAAATATTACTTTTGTGAATAGATACATTATCTAAAATTAATACACTATATTGTGCAGGATATGGTGACATTTTTGGAAGCTTTTATAAGAGATATTTTAGATTTTGTAATCCAGATCTTTAAATATTTTTTACTAAAAAAAAAAAAAAAATACCAAAATATTTTCAATGAAATTTAAATAATCCTCAGAGTTCATTGGACCTTCTTGCATTTCATATGCTAACAAACCATTTATACATAATGCACCCTCTATTGTAAATCATTGTTCTCTAACAAAAAATTTGGGTTTTCTTGCACGAAATCCACTAATATTCCATTCATATCGTCATGATAGTGTCCTTTTGTTATAAGAAGATTCATCTGAAAATACTAATTGATTTGGTAAATATTGAGACATGCGTAAAATAAAATTAATACAATCATTATTATTTCTTTCTTGTGCAGGTTTGATAACTATATAAATAATAACAATCATTGTGAAAATTAATAAATAATAATCATTGTAAAAATAAAAGTAAATAAAATACATAAATAATAAAATACCTGCTTATGCGTGTAGTCTAAACAATGAATTGCTCTCTATACTGTACTAAGAGTAATATTTCGTTCCAATCAAAGCTCCATTTGAGATTGTAATTTCCAAATATACCAGTCAATTTTTTCTTTAAGAAGTGTTTTCAGATATTTCATATCATTATGGCTAAAAATCCTTGGTCTTTCATATAAAGATAGAAGGTTTTCTATACATCCATATTTCTTAAAATGATAATAAATACAGTGTACCGTTGATTTGCTAATTCCTAAATGAGTAGCAATTTGTCATTCTGAAAGACCACCTAAAGATTTTTCAATAATTTTCCAACAAATATGGAATGAATATTTAACCATTGTGTGGGTGAGTGGGTATGAAAATAGATATCTGAACACAAAGGCTGTGTGGGTGTATGGTAAATTACTGTAATATTTTTTATTTGTTTATTATAATAAATAAAATGTGACTGAATGCGACTGAATGCGACTGATACGACTGAAATATTTTTTGATTGGTCCAAAAATTATGAAAATAGCAGTAATATAATTATTATAATATAAAATTATTAAATATACATTTTTTTTTAATTAAACAATTTAAATACTTAAAATTTGATATCAAATTAATAAAGAATAAAGAATAAATACTAAAGATGATACAGCAATTGATTTCAAATTTACAAAATGTTGCAACATTAAAAGTTGCAACATATTAATTACAGTTCCCATCTTTAATAAATACATTTTTATAATTAATTTTCTTTTATTTTTTTTTATAATAATTTTATATATAAATAAAATAATAAATAAATAAAATGTATATAATAAATATAAAATTATGAAATAGCGTATCAAATATACTGAAAAATAGCATATCAAATGTACTGAAAATAGCATATCAAATGTACTGAAAAATAATGTATCTAATGTACTGAAAATAACGTATCTAATGTACTGAAAATAACTTATCAATGTACTGAAAAATAATGAATCTAATGTACTGAAAATAACGTATCTAATGTACTAAAATAACTTATAATATTTACAGATAAAATGTATCTAATGTACTGAAATAGCTTATATAATATACGTAATTTACGAATTTTATATATTCGTAATTTTGACAATTTCCTTATTTTATATACATAATAATTACATACATATATACATAATTTTAGTATATTTTATACATTTTTTACAAATATTAAAACGTATTATTTCCGTATACAATTCTATATATAAATTTCTTATAAGATAGGTTTTGGGACAGGCCAGGTAATTATTAAAAATGTTTTAATTGATGATTCTTAATAAGAAATTTAGGAATTTTTGATTTATATTAAGTATTTTTACATTTTTTAATTACAAGGCATCATCGAAGAAGAGTCCGTAACGTGTTGACGGCGAGGGTGTAGGGGAGGGGTTTAATTTTTTTGGTTTTTTTTTAATTTTTTTATTTTTATTGGGGGGGTTTTTGATATTTTTTTATTTCTTTATTTTATCGGAAGGTTTATCGAGGGTTTATCGGGAGAGGGGGTGGAAAGGTTTTTAATTTTTTTTTTTGTTTTTTAATTTTTTTATTTTATAATAGGGGATTTTTTTCTTTTTTTAAAAAATTTCTTATTTTTTTTTATTGTTTTTTTTTGTTTTTTTTTTAATTTTTAATTTTAATTTTTTTTTATGTAAATAAAAAATATTGTATTAATTAATTGAATTTGAACTATCGTTAATAAATTTTCTTTTTTATTTGCTATTTTTTTATTTTCAATTATAATAAATAATAAGAACTTTTAAAAACAAATTACATTTATCATTATAAATTGTTTCATTTAAGATTATTTCATTAATAAAATTGCTTCAAGATCACTTTAACTTTAACCTTGGAGAGGTTATTCTATAAAATGACATCATAAAATTAACTTTCCTTTTTTAGTAATCATTTATAATTTGTTATACTACTGAATAATTTACTATAGTAATAATGAATTTTCTTATAATGAAGATCTGATCAGCCTGGACACCAACTTTGTTATATTAAGGTGTGACTGTAGATACCAATAGTCCTTTGTTTATTTTTCTGCAGAAAATTTTTTGTCATTTAAAATGATTTATTTTTTTTATAATTTTATAAAAAATTGATGTATACGGAATTATTAAAAAATTTAAAATAACATAAATTTTACGTAAATAAAAAATAATAAAAATAACAATACTATACATCTAATTAAATTTTTTAATGCTTAAATTTTGTTAAGACAATAAATTCTCCTTGAATTCTTCATCAAACTTAATAAAGTAAATACAATGCTGATAAAAACTTATTGCATTGCATTATCGATAAAATCAGTATTTTTTAATCAATCAAAAATTTTAAGTAAACTGGTTTAAACTGGATTTAACTCAGGCAAATTTTCAGCTACAGGTTAAACATTATGTTAAAAATCAGGTGATTAATACGTTGATTTAATTTATTTAATTTCTATAATTTAAAATTTAAATTGTAAAACTGTGAAAATTGTGAATTGCGAATTAATAATTAAACTTCAAATTTTCTTTTGAAAGTAATTGTATATTTTAAAAAATAAAATTATGAAATAATTTAAATTGGTCTACTAATTAAAATTCATAAAAGTAAAATTAATTGTGTAAGAATTCTTATTGTAAACTTGTGTATTATAATCGTGTAAGAATTCTCAAACTTGTTTATTGTATCAAAAAAATTTAAAGCTTTATTTTTTTTTATAGAAAGAGTTCATTAATTTATTATTTAATTCCTTCTATTTTAAGTATATAAACATTACTATTATTTAATTGTATTATCTTTTAATCAATTGTTTAAATAATTTTCATAAGAATATTTTTAGTGTTATCTAGTTTATCTAAAAAAGATTAAACACATATTTTTTAAAAAAAAACTTTATTTAAATGAGTTCTTTTAAAAAGGCATTTTTTTTTTTAAAAAAAAAATGGATAAAAATACAAATGATAAATAAAGCGATAAACAACAAAAAAGACTTTTAGAATTACACGAATTATCAGCAAAATGGATTTTTGAACTTCATAAACATACATCAAAATCATTATTATCAACACCACTTTCATCATCATTTTCACCATCACAATCATCATCAT